AAGTACCAGGAAAGACTTGCTAGCACAAACCGAAGTGTCGCAGAAAACAGACTCAAGCTCCAACTTCAGCGTTTCCAAGGACAGCCGAAGTTGTTAGAAGAGTATGACCGCATCTTCCGTGAATATTTTAACAAAGGTCACGCTGAACGTGTCGACGCTTCTGGAGAGCTAGAAGCAACTGTTTATTACCCTCCGCACCACGCCATAGTCCACCGAGAGGCTATCACTACAAAGCTCTGTGTAGTGTTTAATGCTTTGCATAAACGTGAAGAGTCATCCCTCAGTGATATCTTAGACAAGAGGGTCAAACTTGGTGCTGAGCTCTTGCAACTCCTGGTATACTTCAGACTGAACCAAATCATTTTGACAGCAGACATCCAGAAGGCTTTCCTACTAATTGTCATCATAGAAGAAGACCGCAACACCCTGCGCTATTTATGGATCAACCGAATAAATAGTGAAGAGGGGGTACCACATTTCCATCGTCGAATAGCGCATGACTCGTGTGCCCTTTGGAGCGTCCTCAAGCCCATTCCTCCTGGCTGCTACATTGCAACATCACATTGGAAACTGGAAGAAGACGGAGCCAGTAATGGATACGCATCTACAGAGTGCATTCTATGTCGACGACCTCGTCATAGGAGCTTCCACCGACGAAGAGGATTTCAAAATCTATCGTGCAGCTCTGGCTACTTTAGCTGATGCAAGTATGGAGCTGAGAAAGTGGTGCTCCAATGCGAGCCTTCTTTCTCAACAATTCCTCAAGGATAACTACTCCATCGACAACATTGGGGAAGCCAAATAAAGAACAAAGTTACTCGGCTTAGTATGAAACCGCAATGACAACAACATTTTGATCAGCCCCAGTGCCGTTTCTGAATACGTCTCTGCGCATTCAACCATGAAACGCACCATTCTACTGTCAGCCGCCAGACTTTACAATCCGTTAGGGCTCATTGCTTCGTTTGCCATTCAAGCGAAATTATTGTTCCAATTACTGTGGCGACTGAATTTGCCGTGGGACGATCAATTACTGATACACATTCAGACGCAGTAGGAAGGTTGGACTTACGAATCATCGACGCTTTTTTCACTCAACATCCCATGCTGCGCTGTTTGTTCAACTTCACGGGACGTTACGCCTTTTGAACTGCACTTGTTCTGCGATGCAAGCCCATTGGCATACGGCGCCACTGTCTACACGCGTTACAAGACTGAACGAGAATCGTTCAAGGTTCAGGTGCTCATGAGCAAGAGCACGGCCGCACCACTCAAGGCAACTACATCGCCACATCTAGAGTTACTTGCATGCGTGTTGGCTGCCAGGCTGTGGAATTACTTAAGATGAATTGCAGAAACAGCCAAGGGCCGGAGTTTTTTCTGGAGCAACTTGTCGATAGCCATTTAGTGGATTGGGGCCGACACTAAAAGATCAGAGACTTACGTGAAAAACCATGTTCTCGAAATACAACGGCTCACTTCTGGGTGTTCTTGGAGTCACTGTGCAGGGGGGGGGTGGGGGGCAACGACAATCCGGCAGATTTTCTCACGCGTGAAGTCACAGCCGAGGCATTGATGCGCAAGCCACTGTTGTGGACCGGTCCTTCGTGATTGTCACAGCATCATTTTCAATGGCCTTCGAAGATTTCGGTCTCAACATATGATGCTACTCCTAGCGTGATCATTGACGTGACATAAGCATGCCCCACCGTTGTGGGGATGCCCTCTACGCGCACCTGGTGAGCCTATGCTTGAAGTTTCAAAGTATGAACGTCTTTCATGATTACTCCGAGTTACTGCTTGGATCGTAAGATTTCGCCGCAACGCCTCATCAAAGGAACCATCTTTAACAGGACCACTGATGGCTTCAGAGTTGAGCGAGGCAGAAATGTAGCAGTTGAAGTTGGCCCAATACACCACATTTGCAAGCGAAATTATGGCCTTGGAAAATGGATTACGAGTTCCAAAGTCATTCAGTGTACTGACTCTACAACTGTTTCTCAACCAGCACTAATTACTTTGTGTAGGAGGCAGGCTTCTGTAGCTGGATGACACAGAGGATCTGAAGCATCCAATCTTGCTTCCTGCTGATTAACAATTCACCTATCTCTTCTTTGAGGCAGCGCACGACGACTGCTGCACGGTGGAATTCAGGTCACCCTCGTAGACCTTCGAGAGTGCTTTTGGATAATCAAAGGGCCCCATACAGTGAACAGCATTTTAAAAACATGTTTACCCTATCGGCGACGCTGCCTACTTCCGGAATCTGTCCCAGCACCACCCCTGCTAAAGGAACGAAGTAGTGAAGCAACACCGTTTTAACTGGTGGGGATTTCTGTGGGCCACTGTATTGCCGGAGCCTCGTCAAGAAAGGTGTACATCGTTGTCTTTTCTTGCGCTGTGACCAGGATAGTAGACGTACAAGTGACAACCAATTTGACCGCACGAGCATGTATACTCGCTTTCAAGGGCTTTGCAGCACGATGCAGAATACCTGCTATCGTATACTTGGACAATGCGGAAGCCATTCATTGCAGTAGCAAGCATCTATGCTCACTCTTCAAAGACGACATTCAAGACTATGCCAGTGCTCACAGAATCCAGTGGTGCTTCATAGTCGAATGTGCATGGTGGGGTGGATTTTAGGAACACGTCATTCGCACTAATAAGGAAGCACTCAAGCGTTGCCTCGGATGGAGCAGCTGGCATTACGAGCTGCTCACCGTGTTAGCGGCAGTTGAAGCGGCCGTTAACTGCCGCCCACTCACATATTTAGAGGATGACGTCACATCAACAAAAGCTCTGACAACATCCCACTTCTTAGTCGGCAACCGTCTCATCACCCTGCCTACAGAAAGGAAGATTCTTGCCCTCAATGCAAACGCGTCTGACCTGTGACAAAGAGGGCGGTACCAAGAACAGCTACTTCGGTACCTGTGGAAGCGGTGGAAAAAAGATATACTGTTCCTGTGCGCTGCTCACCACAGCAAGCCGACGTCGTCATATAAAGTAAAGCCCGATGATCTTGTCTTGTTAGAAGAGTTAAATACTCCACCTCTAACATGGAAGGTGGATTGTGACGCTAAGGAATTCCCGGGTAAAGACGTTACTGCGCGTTTCTTCCTGATGCGACTGTCAGACGGTCAGCAAGTCCAACGGCATATACAGCCACTTTACCTCCTGGAGGCGCACTCAAGCAAGGCGGCCACGGGAGTGTGATAAAAACTAAATAGGACGATGCGGCGCAGTGCTCTTGCGATGGACGCTTAGGACGGAGCTATCAGAAAAGAAGGAAGAAGTGTCATACGAGCAATCAACGGTTACCGAGTGCACTTCAAACTCTCTGTCCTCTTCAGCGAACTAAATACTTTTGTACTTTTGGCTGCTTACACCAGGAATCCTTTTTCTTTTTAAGAGGAACATGCACAAAGCACCCACATAGTTTTTCTTCACTGCCCATGGGTCCACCTATTAGGAGCTTGGTCGGCAAGTTTCTATTGCTCGCGGCTTCTCCGGGGGTGGCAACCGGCAGGTACATCGCATTGCCAGTGTACACTTCTTCGGTCGCCGCACCAGCCGCCTCTCCGAAATCAATTCGAACAGTGCTCACTAGACTGCGCACCGCCAAACAAAGCATCGGTTTTTGATCGCCCACGCGCCCGCCTCTGCTTGACTACATCCACTTCCTTCTTGTCACTTCCCTCTCATCACTTTGTAGGTACTGCAGCACGTGATAGGCTCCTACGTTGAGTATTACGCGCGAGTACCGATATCTTCCCAAGCCTCCTCACCTGCCTGCTCTCAACGCTGTCGAAAAACGCCTGATAGCTCCACGTCTGCCTTTTATAGGCGGTAGGCATTTGGCTCACTACAGCAGCCAGTATGGCACAAAAGGGCTGGTGGTTAGCGTGCCGATTGACGAGACCAACTCTGTGCAGTGCCGGTCGTAGAACGTGCTCAACAACGCTGCCTTCGGGGTATACATTATGTGCCGGCTCGTAAACAAGTCTTCTTACAGAAATGTTTTCGCCAAGAAACACCCTGTGCATCTCCGAGCAAGCTCCTCTAACATTTATTCACTTTTAGGGTATGGCGGTGATTTTTTTTTAAGTGCACGTTCACCGTAGCCGAAGCTTGAGCGCACGTAGTCTGAGGTGCTGCCTCACTGCGGGACGCTAGTTTCTTATGATACATCGTGAACTTACTTACAGCGCAACACCAGAAAAAATACAGGACATTTTTTCTGGTGTTGCGCTGTAAGTTCACGATGGATCCTAACCAACTGGCCCAACTTACCGTTTTATGATATTTAGGTGGATGTTTTTATATGATGCAAAATCATTCTGAATCAATAATGCTAGCCTTAATTATGCCATGCGTTACAGCATTTACGATTCAATTTCGGCGTGTGGCAGCTTGGGCTAGTTGGTATGGCATGACGATAGTATGGCATGAGGACGTGTCTTTCGTGTCCTTCTAGTCTCTGTGTCGTCGTTTTGTTCTCGCCCTATAACTATCGTCAATTTCGGCATTACTTGACGTACAGCTAGAAATTACTGTAAAAAGGTTGTAAACAACACATTCGCTGTCATTTTGGGTGTCTGACGAGGACCAATTTAAAGATGCAAAAACTCTTATAAACGCATATATATATAGGTGGTTTTTAAATAAATGTAATTGTTTCAGCTTACATTGCTCATAACCGAATGAAACCAGCTGACAGTGAAGCAGAGGCACAGGAAGCATTATGCGTAGTGTTTAACTGTAATATGGTAATTGACATAATTGGAAAGGAATTAAAGTAGACATTGTCTGTTTGTTTAGGTTGTGTGGAAACAAGACCTCTACTCATTTCATTTTTCATTTTAAAAAAAAAACACTGCCTTGTTCTGCAACTGTTGATCAAGCTGAGTAATGAGTAGTGCCTTCTGTTGTTGCATCTCTAGCAAATGTGCAGAGTTAGATGCTGTGTCGTAAAAGAGTGAATTTTGTTATTACAGGCAGGTGAATATCTGAGGATCAAGGTAATCCATGTTCCAGTGGACCCAAAGACGATGAAGGTTGACATCCACAAAATGAAGGCTGCCATCACGAGGAACACCGTCATGGCAAGTGAATGAAGGTTTCTACACCAATTGAGTATACAGTGGGACCCCGATTATACAACTTTGAGGGGACCATGCAAAACCATTGTGTGATCGAAAAAAACATGGCTGTAGGAATTTATATAACACGAAAGTGAAGCCTGTGTTCACATAAGTAGTTGGTTGTTTTTAGTGCATTGGTACATGAGGGCTAGTACAATGCCTATTGGTGCTTTGTAGATACAGCACTGCTTGATGGGGACCCACCTGCATTGACGCCTAAGAGCAAATCTCCGTCCCAACCACTGAGGCTCATGATCTTAGCTAAACTTTTGCGGTAGCTGAACTTTTTAATGTATACCTGGGCACCAGATATGGTGAATAACGTGCAAGGACCGCAGCAACAAGAACATCATAAACACTGGTATTTTGCATGCACTTGTTCAAAGGGTTGTAAAACGGGAGGAGGAACCAAACGCGTGTTGCTTTTTCTCCAATGTGGTCATTATTTCTTACATGGCGAGCACTAAAATGGCTCTCTCCTACTTATAGCCAGGCCATAGCTAGGGGAGAGCTATATTAATTAATATGAATGAATGTTATGAGCAAGGCTCAGGCTAAAGCTGCCTTCTCATGGTATGTCAAATTGTTGACAAAACAATACTTTTATTTTAAACACGGCGAATGCAGCGGGCCTGAGCTAATTGTAGAAGCCACGCATAACTTGACTCTCCCATTTCCAGACAGCGACACCAACCTCTGAACAAGAGCACTCTGGGAGGTATAGAATGCGTAATGGTACAGCTTCCTTCATGACTTTGACAGTGGCATAATTGGTTAAATGCCTTCCAGCCATGGTCATAGAACGAGAAGTCAATGGTTCAACTCCCAGCTACACAATGCTTTTCTTCAGGCTTTTTTATTCATCGTTCGGTCGTGTTAATTTTGCTAGCATATTTTCATCATGGAAGCCTTGGTGGTTCCAGGCACAAAACACATTTATTATTATTTATTTATTTATTACTTACTTCCGGCCTCATATGGAGGCCTTAGGCCGGAGTGGGGCATAAATACACAACACAGAACAAGCTAGAAGTATTGAATAGAACTGCACAAACAAAAAAGAAATACATGACTTAGTATTCTGCAAATCAACGACATTGGCAAAATATGCAAAAGCAACGAAAAGGAACCAATTGCACGGCAGTTAGTACTCGCATAGCACAAGGTACTCACATTAAGTATTTACATAGCAGAAAGCATTGCAGGTACTGACATTGTACTTACATAGCACAAAAAGTCAAAGGAAAAAGAAAAAAAAGAAAAAGAAAGTTTCATCATTTATTGGAACACAGCAAAGTGAAAGCGAATGCAAGTGAGTACATGACTTTACATGACGCTTCGAGCATAGTGGCGATTAAAGAACTTCATTTCTGATCGCCTACAGAAAAGAATCAATGTTGGAACGTTCTACCGCATGAGCAGATAAGGCGTTCCACTTGACGATTGTCCGAGAAAAGAAAGAGTACGTAAAAGTGTTTGTTCTGCACTTCAGCTCGGCCACCTTTTTTGCGTGAAGAGACCAAGTAAAGCGGCTAATGGCAGGTTTTATGAATGCGGATGAATCAACTCGTAGCATTTTGTGATAGAACAAATAAAATAACTTTAACCTGTCATGACAGCACCTTGTTTCAAGTTTCTCTAGTGCTGCTTTCTGTAGGAGGTGGGATGTGGATCTTTTCCAGCTATAATTATTATAAATGAACCTAACGGTTTTTCTTTGGATACTTTCCAGCTTTAGTTTATTAGAGGCTGTCGAGGGATCTTAGGCCGCCGCTGCATACTCCAATATGGACCTAATAAACGCCCTGTAGGCTAATAGTTTTATTTCTGTTGTTTGGTGACCCAGCGTGCGCCGAAGATATCCCAGTTGTCTGTAGGTTTTTTTAGCAATAAACGTTACATGTTCATTCCAGTGCAAATCGGAGGTTATCATTACTCCTAAATACTTATAGCTTTGCATTAAGCTTAAAGGTTGATTATTGATGAAGTAGGTAAATTCAAGTGGTTTATTCTTGCGGGTTATGGTCATTGCTACCGTTTTTTTACTATTAACTGTCATCTGCCATGTACAACACCAGTTTGCAATTGCAATTAATGCTTGATTTATCAGGATCTGATCATTAGGGCTAGATACTTCCTGGTATATTACGCAGTCTGTGAATAGCCGAATTTGGACGCCTATGCTCTAAACAATATCATCAATATATAGCAGGAAAAATAGAGGCCCGAGAACGGAGCCCTGGGGAACACCAGATGCCACCGGAGCTGAAGGAGAAGCTGTGCCATCAATGACTACACATTGCCGCCTTGACGAGAAGTACGCAGCAATCCAGGCCAAAAGGCGATCATTTTTGAGAATGGGCTTCAGTTTTAGTATTAGCTTGGAATGGGATACCCGGTCAAAGGCTTTTTCGAAGTCTAGAAATATTATATCTACCTGATTATGTCTGTCTAATGCTAAAGCGAGGTCATGTATTGTTAAGACTAGCTGGGTTACTGTAGACATCCCTCTACGAAATCCATGTTGCCGGTGGTCGATCAAATTATTGGTCTCAACAAAGGAAGATATGTGCTTAAATATAATATATTAAAGCAGCTTCACAGAAGTACATAAAATCGATATAGGCCTGTATGAAGAAGTTGATTGGTCGCCTGATTTAGGTATGGGGGTAATTTTAGCAAATCTCCAGTCATCTGGAAGTTCCGCACGAATCAGTGATTTGCGATATAGCAGAGTTAAATACTTCGCGCACTATTCAGCATATCGCACAAAGAAAGCGTTCAGTATTTCAACAATACCAGGAGATTTCTTTGTGTCTAATTTAAGAAGCAACGTCAGGACCCCCTTCTCACTAATGAATTTGTCATCAATCGGCAGTATTTCTTCGAGATGCGAAGGTTTTGGAGCACTGCCATTATCCTGAGTGAACACAGAACAGAAATATGTGCTAAGTACTTCAGCTATTTCAAGCTTGTCGTCGAGTACTGTGTCACTAGCGGACAGATGCGGCATAGACTTTTTCTGCGGTGACAAGTGTCAGGGGATGAGAGAAGAAAGTTTTTCAGTGTCACGTTTTGGAATTGCACTTTTGCTTTTTTGATACCGTTTCCTAGCATAGTGCGTAGCTCAGTAATCTTTTCAGCGTTAGCGTTTGATGGATGACGTTTGTGCCTAGTTCTCGCCTTTTTAAGCTTATGCCCCATTCGAACCAGGTCCCTCGTCAATCAAGGGTTACAGCTGCGTACAATCTTTTGTTTTTTTGGCACGAACTGCGCAATGCATCGAAAAACCAGTTCCTTAAAGAAACGCCACATTTGTTCGACGGAGCCATCAGTTGATTCGTACACAGTGCTGAAGTCGGAGAACGAACTACCAAGTAAATCTAGTACGTCGACGTCACTAGCATGTGTAAACAACGGGACGATACTTTCTTTTATTTGCAGTTTCGAAGAAAACTGCATTTCTAAAGTTAAGGATACCATCTTGTGATCAGACATTCCTTCAAAAATATCTATTCTTGGATTCCTCGTTAAAAGCTCATTGGAAACAAGAAAAAGGTCCAAAATAGACTCCGCTGTTTGTTGAGTGCGTGTGGGGGATTTTAACTGATTGGGTCAAGTTGTGCAAGATAACGAGGTCAATGAATGGTTGAGACGCGTCAGTAAGAGCTTCTGGGAAATATTCTGACCAATTAATTGCTGGTAAGTTGAAATCACCCGCGAGTAACAGGTTGCCGGAACGAGTAGTGTTCAAACACAAAAACTCGTTTAGGTTTTCAGCAAAGGAACTATCACAGCTCGGTGGGCGGTATATACCCACAACAATCAGGTTGCATTCTTCAAGGAATAGTTTAAGCACAACACTTTCAATGCCCGGCACATTCGGTAATCTGGACGCCCGCAGCGATTTCTTGAGAAAAATAGCGACTCCGCCTCCCCTACCGTCACAATCATTGCGGTAGATTCTAAAGCCCTTTGGTATTAACTCGTGGTCACTGACGTCTTGATGGAGCCAGGTTTCGGTTACAACTATGATGTGCGGATTGTGTGCCATAATAATACTTTCCAAATCAGCTAACTTATTAAGAATGCTACGAGCATTGATATTTAGGCAACGGATACTTTTCCTGCAACCTCTACTAGTTCGCCGATTGCGCCTAAGCCTACTCGTGCTCTGAACGTGAGAAGCAGAAGATGCCTTACCTGTAAGAATAGGAACCTTCTTGTTTAGGCTGCTATCCCATCGAAACAGAGTGCCATCGATGTTTACCTTGTCATATGTGAGTTTCACTTTCTTTCCCTCGCTTCTCTCTTTCGCAGCACTATCCCACAACTGCTTGCGCAGTATCCTAGTGGCAGTAGAAAAATCTTCACTGACTGAAACGTTGTGGCCTTTAAGCTTGTGGCAATTTTTTAAAACATTTATTTTTTCGCGGTAGTCAATGAACTTTAGGACAACGGGTCGCGATTTGTTTGCTTGTGTGCGTCCTATTTTATGAATTCGCTCAACAGATTTCACTTCGACATTTAGTGTCGTCGCAAATAAGTCATCAACCACATTCGCGAAAAGCAATTCTGGAAGGCCAAATACAAGAAGATTATTGCGACAGCTTCTGTCGTCTAGGTCAATGAGTTTCATTTCCGAATTACGAATACTTTTTTCAAGTCCCGTGATTTTGGCACCAAATTCTTTTATCGTTGACGTAGACGCCTGAACCTTTTGTAATTTAGATTCATTACGTGCAGCCTATTTTGCATGAGCTTTTGGCCCTCTAGAAGTTGCTGAAGCAGAACATTGGTGTTCAGTCCCGGATTTAGTTCCACATCCCCACAAAGCATAAGCAAATAGAAAAGAATGCCCTTTGCATACGAACAAAACACACAGGCACTGTAGGGGCACGTCAGCTGGAGCAGACAGCAGACTAACCTGCATAAAAAGCAGAAAAGGATTCATGGTGATG